CCGAGCCCACGGATGGGCATGTGAAAATTTTGGCGCGAAAACTACTAACCGAGGAACGGAAAAAGTCAGGAAGGTGAAACTTTAAGGGTATGTTCCCCACTCATGTACAAGCAGAATCAAGCGTTTAGAAGCGCCCGAGCCCACGTATGCGCATGTGAAAATTTTGGCGCGAAAACTACTAACCCAGGAACGGGGAAAGCTAGAAAGCTGAAACTTTGAGGGAATGTTCCCTGCTCACGTACGAGCAAAATAAGGTGTTTGGAAGCGCCCGTGCCCACGTACGAGCGCGTGGAAATTTTGGCGCGAAAACCATTAACCCAGGAACGAAAAAAGCTAGAAAGCTGAAACTTCAAAGTTATGTTCCCTATCCATGTATGACCAAGAAATTTTAAATTCAGCTCCTTAAACCGTCCGGTAGTCACGTACGGACACGCGAAAATTTTGATGGGAAAACTGCTAACTCGGGAACGGGTAAAGCTATGGGCTTTAATTTTAATGTTATGTTCCCTGCTCATGTGCGACTAAAAAATTTTTAATTCAGCTCTTCTAACGTGGTCTTTTTTTGCAGACCAGCAACTTTCCATTTGTCGGGTCACTGAAGTCGACACCTACATCTGACATACCACAGAGTTGCACAGTTAACTTCCCGAACTTCGGGGGCTAGTATTTCACAGGGTTAGCTACTGCGATTCCTTGCGATCTTGCTACATCACGAAAAGTGCAAAAACGCATAATCGCACCGGCCCGCCTGGTGCGTTCCAGCCTGGGTCTTGATATCATCTGTCGCTTCATTTTTTTGATAACAAAGCTTGGGCTTTTTCTACAATTAATATTTTGAGAAATATATATATGTGGCGGAGGATTTATGGGGACCAACTGTGGAAGCGCGTTATGCCTTAAATTTTATACTCACAGACGTGACCATAATACGAACGAAAGAGTATACAGAGCAGATGACTTAACACAAAATGCAATAGGAGACAAACTACTAAACTCAGTCAGATACAAAACGACTCAGGGAGACAAGACAACGAAGTGAAGAAGACAAGACCGCCGATGACACGAGTGGGATCCTAACTGGTAAACCGGACTGCCTTTATAGGACGGGGGATTCAATTAGCGCTGTAATGCACGCTATCCTAGTATCGGATCTTCGCTGTGATTGCAGTCTTGTTATCAGGGCTTTGAGATCTCCACGGTTGATTAATGCGACCCTAGGATATATTTGAGCTTGGGAAAGGGAACACTTTGGCAAGATATCAGGGCCTGGTATCTGGGAATGGACCCGATTGGTATTTTTTTTTGTCTTTGTACTTCTCTTTCGTTTCTCTTTTTTTTCGACTTCCTTAGAAGAAATTATTTTATTTTAAAATGTATATTAATTTTTCGATCTTCGAAGTGGAAAAGGGGGAATGTAGGTTCTCCTTCACTTTATTTTGTAGCTGGAAATTGATGTAGCTGAAAATTTCTCTGTTCTTCTCTGTTTTGCACATTTATCATCCTCATAATTCTATATAGTAGTCCCAATGAATCCATCCATCACATTGATGGTCCTCTCTGCATCCTTTTGACATTGCGTGGGTACCATTCGATAATTTGCTCCGGTGATTTCTGATATACTTTAGAAACGCGAAATTTCAGATACTGATCGAAATTCTTGTCTCAATGGCAAAGCTAGTCTCGCAGGAAAGCGGTGGTCGAAGTCAGAAAGAGAAAGCTCTACGACGAGCGTTACGTGAACAACGTGATTTGCTGAATCTCTGTGGCTTACCATTGCCCGTTGATCCGACTGTTCGAGTGAATATGTTGCTCTCCGATACTGCAACGCTCTTCAACAGCAATTTGATGCCAATGAAATTGACGTTTCGAACTGAAAAAGGCGATAATTTCGTTGCTATTTTCAAACGTGGCGATGATCTCAGGTAATTTGCAGTTGCGTTATTCAGGAAAAAGTAAAAATATGCTACCCTCATGGTTATTGTGATGGTACTTAGAGTTGCAGTTAATGAAACCTCTAAGTGCTAACTCAAACTGTCGAGGAATTGGGCGTACTTACACTGGACGTTTGGGAGTAACCCAGTAACTTTAATAAGGCTGCACTGATGATTCCCACCCCTAATCACACTTCACACTGTCTGTGTGTATTGAGGTTTGTACCACATTAGCTAATCAGCTATCTTCCCCAGCACAATTCACTAGCAGATCCCATCCTCCCACCCATAAAACTTAAGGAGTTCAGCCGTTCTGAATTTTCTTTGGTTTGTACGCGCCGTTACTTCAGAAGATGTGGTTCGGCCTACCAGCGGCCGCAAAAAACCACTTAACAATTTCATCCTCTTTGGCGGTCCTACTTGGACCTTCCAATCTTGGTTCGGCCTTCTATGGCCCCTCTATTTCTATGTCATACTGATAACCCGGGTGGTATTCGTAAGCTTAGGTAAAATCTTAAAATAGTGAGGGATTCTGAAAAAAAAATTAGTTCAGCGGAACTAGTCCAGTAGTCCGTCCAAGTAGATGTTAATGCACTGAAACCCATCCGCCGTACAGACGTGGTATCCGCGTACGGGCCCGCCAAAATTTTTTTCGTATAAGTTCATAACTCAGTGATCTGAGAAGCAAGAGCGCTGAAATCTTAGAAGAATATAATACCTCATATCAGAAATCATTCTTTCGTTAGTTTGTTTTTTTTTTTTCAGGCAGGATCAGCTGATGATACAAATGATTCGACTGATGGATGGTTTACTTCGAGCCGACGGTCTTGATTTACGTCTTACGCCATATTCCGTTCTTGCAACATCCACGTCGGAAGGATTTGTGCAATTCGTCAAAGCGATTCCTCTTCGTGAAGTGATTTCAAATTGGGGCACTGTTCAGGTATTTTTTGTAATCACTTTTTTTTTGATTGATTTTTGAGTTTTACTTCTATCACGATATGTGAATATGAGTGTCTTCAGCCCCGTATGTTCGGGAATTCTACATACATCGGCTTGTTCTGCCTTTTTGCGTCATGGATTTAGCATAAAAACGCGCTGAAGCGAGATAATTTCTACAAATCTATCTGGTTTTCGTTATTTAACGACTCTTGAACTGCGACAGCTTGGCGGAAGTCCCGTGAAAAGCCGGAAAGATCTGATAAAAGGATTGGACAGAATGTGCGCTACATATGATAGAAGCCTCTGACAGTGTAGAATAATTTATATGCAACTGGCGTCATGAGCGGATCCAGAACGGGCTGCTTGGGGAGGGAGCGGGAGATGTCGAGAATGGCGGAGGGGAGGGGCGGCGGGGGTGGAGAGGAGAATATCCTTCTATCCCGGAACAACGCAAACACTAAGAATGGAATTGTAACGCTAATATTTGAAGTTAATTTAGTTTAGAGTTGTTTTAGGCTTCAATTTACTTTAGTCTTAGCTTTAGGCCCGG